CATGGCAAATTAACATATTGAGATTGGGATTGAGGGAATTGCCCTAAAATGGCTCACCAGCTTCATCCGTGGTCGTTGTCAAAAAGAGAAAAAGTCAAGGTACAAACACTCCTGCTAAATTTTAAACTGCTCCATGGGCTAGCACCTTCATACCTGTCAAAAATTGTCAAGTACAATTCCAGTGGTGGCAGAGATGTGTCTCTTCATTGCCCTATAAACAGTCCACCCAGAGCCTTCTCTTCATCTGCTCCAAGATTATGGAACAATCTTCCTCTAGAAATCAGGAAATGTGTGAACATCATGAACTTTAAGGAAAAACTAAAATATCACCTGTTTATAGAAAGTCACCTGTTTTTAGAAAGTCATTTGATATATATTGAGTAACTACATTACTGAGAAAAGACAATTTTTTTTTTGAGAAAAGACAATTTTTTTGAGAAAAGACAATTTTATTATTTATCACCAATTCAATACATAATCAATAAATATATATCCGAATAAATTTGATTAAAAATTAAATGATACAAGTATGCTAGCAGCTAGCGCGCTTATATTTGATAAATATTCACGCTGTTAAAATGGGTTTTACCACACCGCCACTCACATTAGCACAGTTGGTGAACGGACCCAGGCGCTGTTAAGCTTTTTTTTACTAGAAGATCTATTAAATTTACATTCTATAGCAAGTCAATTTTACGCTTTAAATTAAATTATTTTAGATTTTTAAGTTCTAAGGATTTTCGGGCAACATTTGAGATAATAAATTTTTTGTGTTTCACTGCTTCTGCCTACAAAATTGTAGTGTAAGTCAGAAAAAGAGGCTTTATCCCGGGACATGCCAACATGTTTTGGGTTGGCACCCAGGAGAAAAATAAAAGTAAAAGTAAACATTATGACATAACATCATCACACATGTCTACAACGTATCAAATCACTATATGGAAAAAATATAAAGAAAGCACCCGTTAAAACAAAGAGTTTGAACGGGTGATACTCGTAAAATATTTGTTCCATAGGAAAACAAATTTAAGGAAAAGAAATTTAAATTTTGGTATTTATTAATAACAATCAAACCATATCATATCATAAAAATAAAGCCGTTGGTTGACTGCTTCAGTAAGGTAAATATTTTAAGCTTGAAGGTGCCCTGCGCATTTGCAGAACCTCATGCGGCGATCACATGATCACGAGGACCTGTGAGCGCGAGCGCCAAATTTAATTTTATTTATATTAATTAATAATTATAATCAATATTATATTATTATAATTAATATTATATTATTAAAATTAATATTATATTATTTCATATATTAGGACCATCGACGAGTCCAGCTCGGCGCACGTCCTAGTAGGTTATATACTTCACTTAACCATGTGCTTTCGCGCCGCTGCGGGCGCGCTTGTTTCACAAGGCGGGCGCGCACCACTGCAAGCACAAGGGCTAGATAGAGCAAGTTATAAACCTACAAACCGAGTTGTACTCTTTGACGGTCTTGAAACAAATATTTTACGATATTACCTGTTAAAAATTCAGCCAATCAGAGTACAGAAATTCGCACAGTTAAAGTTTACTGGGCGGCGCTCAGCCTGTCATTCCGCCGAATCTTTATTCAGTTTATGAACATAATTGATAATAGGCTGGGGTCCCCAGCTAAAGTTAAAGTTTGAAGTTGCGAACTTTTGATCGCGCGCCGAAATGAGACTTTTTCTGGAGATAACTCAAAATCTATTCACATAGCCATGTATATACGCGTAGAATATACTGAGGCGGTCGCGCACTACTGCAAGCGAGAGGGCTCTGATTAGAGCAACAAAATCTACGTTGTCTCAAATTCCCCCGGGGAGGGGGGAGGAAACGATATTTTCACTAGAGGAACATTTTGCAAAAAACCAAAAATTTCTAGTATCTCTTTTATTTTCGAAGTTAGGCCCCAGCCAATAAGTTTTCCTTTGTATCACGTTTTGTAGGTTTATAACTTACCAGGACGCGCGCCGAGTTGGACTCGTCGACGGTCCTAATATATGGAACAAATATTTTACGAGTATCACCCATTAAATCACGTTGTGCGCTCCTACTAAATCGCTCGCCCAAATTTTAAGAAAATTCTTGTGAAAAGGCCCTTTGGGCATGAAAGTGATCTAGATCACTTTTTGGACGCTGATTCCGAATCACCCTTGTAGCGCGATGCGTTACTGTGCCGCGCCGCGCACTCAATGAGGCTTCTCACAGCTAGATCGGCGAGATGCGCTACTGTGCCGCGCCGAGCTGCCATGAATTGACATCGTCAATTAAGAATTACCCCCATGACGTAGGGTTAAAATGCTTCCCTGGAGAGTTATGGGCAAAAAACCGTTTTGGTCACGTGACAGGCTAGTAAAATACGATTTCGATTGTTTGTGGCCCGGGTTAGGGTTAGAGTTGTGGTAATGGTTATGGTTAGCTTCGGGGTTATGGTTAGGGTTGGGATTAGGGTTTATGTAAAACCGTTTTGTACGGCTGCAAAACCATAAAAACCAAAGTCACGTGAAATTTTTGGGTGAGCGAATTAGTAAGAGCCCACGTTGTGACCCCCACGGTCGTTTCACTATCGTCCTGACGATACAGGGGGAGCCGCGCACTCGTGTGCGGCGGGTCATACAACGTATGACAAGGTAACGAAAAGGTGGTGCTCAGCCTGTCATTGGCTGCGCCATCGACCATAACTTGAATTGTTAATGTTTATAGAAATAAATGATTACGCCTGAGCTGCCGCTGGTGTCCAGGTAACCATTTTGTCGACGGATATGTTACAATCTAAATTTCTTCAAAGTAGTAGTGCGCGCCGCTTGCTTTACTGGGCGGCGCTCAGCCTGTCATTCCGCCAAATCTTTATTATATGTTTATGAACATAATAGCCTGGGGTCCCCAGGTAACGCTTGCTTTGAGGCAAGTGATACGAAGTAGCGCGCACTGGTGACTGGGCTAGTCCATTAACAATGGACAGCCATTTTGTGGCTATTTACCGCGAAATTGTGCGCAGCAAGGTCTTGGTAAGCTATCGCTTTTCCTTTCACATTATTTAGTGCCAGTGGTACTGTACTGGTAAAATTTCTTCAAATTTTAAACCCGTCACCAGTCATAAAAATGGCCCTATAATCCACCCCAACATGCACTGTGCGTGGTGAACTTTGTTGTTTGTAATTTAATTGTATGTACAATCATAAAACATTGATTTTTAGTGAAATAATTTTTGGTAAACATATCTAATATTGATCATTGATTTATACAAAATATAACAACGAATATTATTAACATAATCATAATTTTTCTCATACCATGGACTCAGCACTTATTGCCGAAGTTATACTTGCGTCCCCCCTTACAGTCAACAGTGCTGCTTGAAAAACTACAGCAGTGTTTGCAACTTAAAAACTAAGTGAGGTTATCTTAAATCTGACAAAATTGTAACAAAATAATACCGTTAATTCATAATTGGTTTCGGCGTTTCGCAAAATTTATAGTCTATATTCGGTCTTCTACAAGCACAGAATAAGTAATAACATATACAATATATTACATATATTACACATAAAAAGCTGTGCATAATTCATAATTGATCAGAGTCTAAGTTAATGATATGTGACCTAAGGAGTTGAGATGAAGCACTCTAGAACGGCCGAGTTATAGGATGATACTTATAGTTATTAATTATAATAACTTTACTCGCATCTTCATCGCATACAACAGCAGAGTCCACGTAAAGCCCACTTGGAGTAGTGAACATTCTCGTTGAATATGTCTGAAAAGATTAAGTTATAATACGGGAACAACTTACATTTCAAGAATACGGCCACAGTAAAACAGCTTGGGGAAAGGGAAATCGCCGAACAGTAAATCGACTATCGAGGTGTACACTGTACGGCAAATGGAGGGTATGACGCGATCTCAGTCAGATTAAAGTACTCGGGGTAGGGCTTATTGTTTATGGAACTTTATGGTTCACATTACATGGTTTCCTCTCCGCACAGTATTGGTTCTTCATTAGTGGTAACGGTTCACAGTTATGCACAAACGCTCAAGTAAGGGGGAGATGAACGAAGTAACGAGTCTAACAAGCTTTTCGAGATGAAAAACCCAATTCTAAGCCTCTCAAAGGATCTTGTGATATCAAACAAAATATTTACTGGGCGGCGCTCAGCCTGTCATTCCGCCGAATATTTATTTATTACTGTCACCAAGATGTAATTAGATCGAACGCAGAAATTAGATCGAACAGGTTCGATCTAGGAATTAGATGGATATTTTCACAAATTTTTGGGAAATGGGTTTTAATGTTTATTTAAATAAGAAGTTAGAGTGTTTTAGAAAACAGTGTGTGAAGAGCTTACCTAAGAAGAAGAGAGGTTTGTCGTCCATAGCACGTGTAGAGTAGACGGGGCACTGGTACAGACAGTGGGTCCTGTCCGTCTGACTCGGTCCTGCTGTCACGTGGATTACCGGGAGCTGGGTGAACTTGGACTTGGGGGCCACATCCTGCATCTGGGGGGACTTAATATTTAGTGTTAGTTAAGGGGGTAGTGTTAGAGGTAGTGTTAGGGGGCCACATCCTGCATCTGTGGGGACTTAATATTTAGTGTTAGTTGAGGGGTAGTGTTAGAGGTAGTGTTAGGGGGCCACATCCTGCATCTGTGGGGACTTAATATTTAGTGTTAGTTAAGGGGTAGTGTTAGAGGTAGTGTTAGGGGGCCACATCCTGCATCTGTGGGGACTTAGTATTTAGTGTTAGTTGAGGGGGCCACATCCTGCATCTGTGGGGACTTAATATTTAGTGTTAGTTGAGGGGTAGTGTTAGTTGAGGGGGCCACATCCTGCATCTGTGGGGACTTAATATTTAGTGTTAGTTGAGGGGGTAGTGTTAGGGGGCCACATCCTGCATCTGTGGGGACTTAATATTTAGTGTTAGTTGAGGGGGTAGTGTTAGAGGTAGTGTTAGGGGGCCACATCCTGCATCTGTGGGGACTTAGTATTTAGTGTTAGTTGAGGGGGCCACATCCTGCATCTGTGGGGACTTAATATTTAGTGTTAGTTGAGGGGTAGTGTTAGTTGAGGGGGCCACATCCTGCATCTGTGGGGACTTAATATTTAGTGTTAGTTGAGGGGTAGTGTTAGTTGAGGGGGCCACATCCTGCATCTGTGGGGACTTAATATTTAGTGTTAGTTGAGGGGTAGTGTTAGTTGAGGGGGCCACATCCTGCATCTGTGGGGACTTAATATTTAGTGTTAGTTGAGGGGTAGTGTTAGTTGAGGGGGCCACATCCTGCATCTGTGGGGACTTAATATTTAGTGTTAGTTGAGGGGTAGTGTTAGTTGAGGGGGCCACATCCTGCATCTGTGGGGACTTAATATTTAGTGTTAGTTGAGGGGTAGTGTTAGTTGAGGGGGCCACATCCTGCATCTGTGGGGACTTAATATTTAGTGTTAGTTGAGGGGTAGTGTTAGTTGAGGGGGCCACATCCTGCATCTGTGGGGACTTAATATTTAGTGTTAGTTGAGGGGTAGTGTTAGAGGGGGCCACATCCTGCATCTGTGGGGACTTAATATTTAGTGTTAGTTGAGGGGTAGTGTTAGAGGGGGCCACATCCTGCATCTGTGGGGACTTAATATTTAGTGTTAGTTGAGGGGTAGTGTTAGAGGTAGTGTTAGGGGGCCACATCCTGCATCTGTGGGGACTTAATATTTAGTGTTAGTTGAGGGGTAGTGTTAGTTGAGGGGGCCACATCCTGCATCTGTGGGGACTTAATATTTAGTGTTAGTTGAGGGGTAGTGTTAGGGGGCCACATCCTGCATCTGTGGGGACTTAATATTTAGTGTTAGTTGAGGGGTAGTGTTAGAGGGGGCCACATCCTGCATCTGTGGGGACTTAATATTTAGTGTTAGTTGAGGGGTAGTGTTAGAGGTAGTGTTAGGGGGCCACATCCTGCATCTGTGGGGACTTGATATTTAGTGTTAGTTGAGGGGGTAGTGTTAGAGGGCCACATCCTGCATCTGTGGGGACTTGATATTTAGTGTTAGTTGAGGGGGTAGTGTTAGAGGTAGAATTAGGGGGCCACATCCTGCATCTGTGGGGACTTAGTATTTAGTGTTAGTTGAGGGGGTAGTGTTAGAGGTAGTGTTAGGGGGCCACATCCTGCATCTGTGGGGACTTAATATTTAGTGTTAGTTGAGGGGGTAGTGTTAGAGGTAGTGTTAGGGGGCCACATCCTGCATCTGTGGGGACTTAATATTTAGTGTTAGTTGAGGGGGCCACATCCTGCATCTGTGGGGACTTAATATTTAGTGTTAGTTGAGGGGGTAGTGTTAGAGGTAGTGTTAGTAACTTGGACTTGGGGGCCACATCCTGCATCTGTGGGGACTTAATATTTAGTGTTAGTTGAGGGGGTAGTGTTAGAGGTAGTGTTAGGGGGCCACATCCTGCATCTGTGGGGACTTAATATTTAGTGTTAGTTGAGGGGTAGTGTTAGAGGTAGTGTTAGGGGGCCACATCCTGCATCTGTGGGGACTTAATATTTAGTGTTAGTTGAGGGGGTAGTGTTAGAGGTAGTGTTAGGGGGCCACATCCTGCATCTGTGGGGACTTAATATTTAGTGTTAGTTGAGGGGTAGTGTTAGAGGTAGTGTTAGGGGGCCACATCCTGCATCTGTGGGGACTTAATATTTAGTGTTAGTTGCGGGGGTAGTGTTAGAGGTAGTGTTAGGGGGCCACATCCTGCATCTGTGGGGACTTAATATTTAGTGTTAGTTGAGGGGGTAGTGTTAGAGGTAGTGTTAGTTGAGGGGGCCACATCCTGCATCTGTGGGGACTTAATATTTAGTGTTAGTTGAGGGGGTAGTGTTAGAGGTAGTGTTAGGGGGCCACATCCTGCATCTGTGGGGACTTAATATTTAGTGTTAGTTGAGGGGTAGTGTTAGAGGTAGTGTTAGGGGGCCACATCCTGCATCTGTGGGGACTTAATATTTAGTGTTAGTTGAGGGGGTAGTGTTAGAGGTAGTGTTAGGGGGCCACATCCTGCATCTGTGGGGACTTAATATTTAGTGTTAGTTGAGGGGTAGTGTTAGAGGTAGTGTTAGTTGAGGGGTAGTGTTAGAGGTAGAATTAGGGGGCCACATCCTGCATCTGTGGGGACTTAATATTTAGTGTTAGTTGAGGGGTAGTGTTAGAGGTAGTGTTAGTTGAGGGGTAGTGTTAGAGGTAGAATTAGGGGGCCACATCCTGCATCTGTGGGGACTTAATATTTAGTGTTAGTTGAGGGGTAGTGTTAGAGGTAGTGTTAGTTGAGGGGTAGTGTTAGAGGTAGAATTAGGGGGCCACATCCTGCATCTGTGGGGACTTAATATTTAGTGTTAGTTGAGGGGTAGTGTTAGAGGTAGTGTTAGTTGAGGGGTAGTGTTAGAGGTAGAATTAGGGGGCCACATCCTGCATCTGTGGGGACTTAATATTTAGTGTTAGTTGAGGGGTAGTGTTAGAGGTAGTGTTAGTTGAGGGGTAGTGTTAGAGGTAGAATTAGGGGGCCACATCCTGCATCTGTGGGGACTTAATATTTAGTGTTAGTTGAGGGGGTAGTGTTAGAGGTAGTGTTAGTTGAGGGGGTAGTGTTAGAGGTAGAATTAGCAATTAACCGCTACTGTAACTTGTAGTAGTAGTAGTTACTACTACTACTTATAACTGTATTCTCTTAAACTCCTTCTCTGGAAACTGCAGGCTTATTAACCTGCAGTTCTTCTACCTTGTCTTAAAAGTGAGGAATTGTTCAAAAAGGCATTTGCTCGTGAACACAGGGATTATTCCTGCTAGATATTTAATATCACTTTGTTCAATCACATTATCAATCATCATGATGTAATTCAAATTTATCGCCATATTTAATAAATTTAATTTCAACGCGTTTGCATCCGTTATTCAGGCAGAAAAGAAAGTTCAAATTAGGTCACTAAAACTAAGTTATTATCATGTTATCGAGTGAAGAGTCTGTTTGATAAATGGTTGTCTCAACAACTGCCGTAACTAATCAATAGCATATTATGGTCGATTACCACATTCTATAAATATAACAAAACATATTTGCATACATGCAAGGAAGTGTCTGTGAAATACCGAATATATGCATTTTGGGCTCGGATATCTGAGAAGACCAGTCTGATGATGTGATTACGTGATGTTAAACTAGAGGGAGTGTGTTAGTTACTGTCCAGTGGTGGTGTTTGACGTCACACTTCTCCTTTTGGTTGGTGACGACTGCCGGATTTTGTAGGCTGGGTGTAGCGGGTGAGGGAGTTGCATCACGGTGTCATGGTTTGGTATAAATGTTCCTCCTGCACCGTCTACCTCACATTTAACCGATCTTTTCTATCGACTTGTTTGTTTTGCACTAGTAAACCCATCTATTTTACTGCTCGATAGTATTTCTGTGAAGTCCAACATGACTCTAAGAGTATTAGTTTTACTTCTCTCCCTCTTTGTTGCTGCCCTCTCCTACGAATACGATGATGATCAAGAAAAAGCCTGCTCTTTCGGAGGAATGAAATACCTGTGTGAGAACTACGAGATCTGCTCTGAGTTCGGACTGATTGACGAGGACGCTAAGAATGCTCTTTGTGGAGCTTATCTCGATGAACTCAACTTTAGCCCAAGTAATGGTCCTGTCTCCACCTCTGATACTAGAGCCGAGACTGAGCGACCCACAAAGGAAGAAGAGTACCCCACTACATATGTATACACCAGTGAGAACGCTGTCACCACTGGAGACTCCTATTCGTCCCCTCAGCAGACTACTGAGGCTGATGATACCTTCACCACCTACCCTTATACTACAGAGGCAGAAGCTGAACCCACCGTAGACCCTGAAGTGGTGAAACAGCCCCCAGTCATCACCATCGCTCCAGTCAATATTACTGTTGCTCCTGGTGGAACTGGTAGATTTGATTGTGAAGCAAAGGCCGCCATGACCCCGCAGATTACCCTTACCAGGAAAGACCAGCTGTCCAGACCCAACCTGGAATCCTTCAATGCTTTTAGCAGCGGTCATGTCAGTCAGACGACCATCAACTCTATCACAATCAACAATGTGGACGAACCTAATGAAGGCTGGTACACCTGTCTTGCCTGCAACAGACAAGGCTGTGATGAAGTGGACGCCTACCTGACTGTACTGGATCTGTGCGAGGGAGTGACCTGCCCCGGGGAGAAACAGTGTGTCGGGAACTACGCTGCTGGACACGGACATACCTGTGAGTGTCCTTCATACTGTGATAGAGCGGACATGTTCGCCAGTGACTTTGTCTGCTCTAACTATTGTGAGGAACAATTCAACGAGTGCCTGATGAAGGACGATGCTTGCAGGAACGACAAGTTCGGAATTGAAGTCATGAACAAAGGAAGATGTGGCAAGATCGAGAACCCAGAGATTTTGGAAGAGGAATTCGCTCATGGAGTCTTCGAGCTGGAGGAAGGTGATGAACTGATTCTCGAATGTAATGCTATAGGATTCCCTGAGCCTGAGATTGTGTGGTACAGACACGACGAGATTGTAGGACATGGCAACTACCTGATAAAGTCTGTCTTTGTTGCTGATGGTGGGGAGTATACTTGCGAGGCTGTGAACTGCATGACCACCAAAGTTAGTAAAATTCTAGCTGCTGTCGTAGTCAAAGAAATCCCTCCTCCTCCCCCTGCTGTTGTAACCACTATTGCACCGGTTATCACATCCACTGAACCAGCTTCCTTCGACAACATCATCGTGGAAACCCCTAGAGCTACTTGTGCGGTAAGTTCTAGCTTAAGTGTTATGATAAAAATTATAGTTTTCCAGTGTTGTCTTTTATTACATGTTTGTAAATTACGCAAAATATTAATTTTGTGTTTCCCAACGTTCAAGTCACATCTTAGTTAATTATTTCAAAGACAGTCCCATCCAAACTTTCAATCTGACATATCTCAATCCTACAGGTATACGGAGACCCTCATTTTCTGACCTACGACAAGAACGCCTACACCTACATGGGACTGTGTGACAATGTCCTCGCTATGGACTGTGAGTCTGCACGCTGGTTCGTCTACGGAAGAATGAGGGCATGCGGAAAGACCGGGGGTTCCTGCTTGGAGTCTGTCACCGTCTTCGTTGATAATGATGTTCTTGAGCTTCAGAGAGGATGGTTGGTGAACAGAAACGGAAAGAAGCTCGTCACCAAGAACAGGAAAAATAAAGAGATCGTCGTGAAAGGAAAAAAACAAGATTTCACTTTACTATTTGACGGAGCTATGCTCACTCTCACCGCTATCCTCGACACCAGAGCAACCGCCGTCCCTGGAACCTACGTAGAAGACAAGCTTGTTGTCCGTTGGGATGGTTTCGTCTCTGTTCAGATCCAAACTCCCATGAACATCAGAACTTGTGGAATGTGTGGAAACAACGACGGCCGACCTGAGAACGACATGAAGAACCGACATGGCAAAATGATCGACAACGTAAACGTGTTCGGAAAGGCTTGGCAGATCGATCCCATGAGAAGATGTCCTGAAACCCAGAAAGCAAGAACATCTGAGGAGGTGTGCGGAGAGAGGTACCAGGAGGTGAAGACGGAATGTGAGCGAGTGTTCAGCATCACCAAGTTCCAGGGTTGTATTGCAGCTGGACACGACACTGCCCAGTGGATAGAC